GGCATTCCGCGGACTTAGCTTGTCGGCCCGTACGTCGTAATTGCCTAATAAATTGCGGCTTAATTGAGCACCACCGTAGTCCACCGATTTACATCGTTCCTTCACTTCTTTCATAAATCCTTCTCTATCTACCTACCTACCTACCTACCTACCTACCTACCTACCTACCTATCTACCTACCTACCTACCTACGTATCTGCTCTTTCAGAATTAACGGACTCGTGCGAGGTTGTTCGATCGAGTTAAAACGATACGACGGACGAATTCGAAACGAAAATAGAGACATCAATGCCTGAACCATATGGAGGCGCAATGGACAAAGAAAAAAAAAAAAAAAAGAAAGTAAAAAAAGAAAGGCAGAGCGAGAAGAAAAAATTCCACGGAGTTATAACACACGAAAGATTAGCAACGTGTGATAGCAAACAATTATAAAACATAAACATGATCGTAGAAATTAATTAAAATTATTCAATATCTTATATTATTGACCAATTAAATATTAATCGAACGAACGAGATGCCAACTAATGTAAAATGATAATCATTAATGTATATTTAATATAGACTCCGAACTCTAAAGCAAATATCAGTACGATGAGATAGTTATAGTAGTAGTAAGGCGATGGATAAAACGGTAACACGGAAATATTAAAACCGTACACGTAAGTTAGCAGGATATATGATTGCGAATGTAACATAGCGTAAACCAGGGAAGAATTAAAAAAAAAAGGAGAGAACTACTGGCGATGCCGAAGCGTCTACTTTAGAGCAACGACTTTATTGTTGAGTCGTTCGTGCGGAGAATGAGAGAGAGAGAGAAAGAGAGAGAGAGAAAAGAGGGATGAAATATACGAAGAAGAGGAAGAAGAAGGGAGGAAAGAGAAAAAAAAAGAAAAAAAAAAAGAAGATTAAGAAGAAGCAGAGAAGTAAAGCTGAATAACGTCGCGAGGTTCGCCGATCGCGAAGCTGATAACGAAGGCTGCTGGTGCTCGTGATAAGGCTGGGCAGGATAATTAACACGTGAGAACCAGCTCCTCCCATAGGAAAGCAAAACCTCGCCTATATACGCCTCTTTCTCTTCTCGGTATCGGTGTCGTTCCAACGAGCTCTATACTTATTCCTTGTAGTTATGTACATATACGTATATATGTACATATATATATATATATATATATATATACAAATATATACATATGTATATATACTCTAACACATATGTGAGAATTAACTGGTGTATAGTCGTTGTCGTCGGACCGAACGAACTCGTCCGTTCTCACTCCGTTGGAAAAGAAGAAGAAAAGCAAAACATGTTCCGCGTTTGCAGGAAGAGTAATAACGGTACAGGATCAGGGTGGATAAGGATGTTAAAGATGTCCTCGTTATAGCTTATAAGCGTGCACTCTCTCTTTTTCTCTCTCTCTCTCTCTCTCTCTCACTCTCTCTTTTCTCTTCTTGCCTCTCTTTTTCTTTCTATCCATAAATAGTGGCTAAGTCGTGTGAAATTTTGCAGTAACTCGGTAACTAACTTAAATATTATAAAAAGTGACTCACCCTATACATATATATATATATATATATATATATATATATATATATACATGTATATGTACAGCTTCCGCGTTCGATCCTACATGGAATACAATGTGCTGTGTAGTTGCAGGACAGGAAGGCTCGTTTGAACGTAGGCGTCTATCTCTTAATTCCCCAACAGCATCCCTTTTATACCTTTTTCACTTTCCAACTTCAGAATCTTCATATCATAGAATATATACATTTCTATTCTTGTAAATGCGATGATCTGTTAACAATAAAAAAGAAAAATCGAAAAAAGATATTAATAATATAGAAATTTGCATTGAATAATTATATTAAAATTATATATATATATATATATATATATTTATTTAATAATTGAACGTCATTGTAATAAAAATAATTATGACGAAACGATTCTATTACATTATATACCGATAGGCAAATAATTATTGAGAACGAGCGTTTTCTACGTTTACCTTTCTCATCTTTGATTTTATTCCTTCAATAATAATCTCAGCAACTGCAAGCAAGCTATGGAAAAAGAGAGAAAAGTAAAAAGGTCATCGAGTGACGAACGACCGAAGCTGTTCGAGTCGAAGGGAAGTGAAAAGATCTCCAGAGACGGCCGGTCACGCTCCCTAATTGAGGGACACCGCAATAATTTCAGGGTGGCCCATCCGGGATTCTCGAGCCTCTAGGTAGGAAACGAAGAGGGAGTATCTAAAGGAAAAAAAAAAAAAAAGAAGAAGAAAGAAAGAGAGACAGAGATGGGACGAGTTGAGTCGAAAGATCGACGGCCACGACCACCGTAACATCGAAATTCTGTGGAATTCGGAGACACGGTGAGAGAGAGATAGATAGATTGAGAAAGAGAGAGAGAGAAAGAGAGAGAAAGAGAAAAGAAAAACCACCCTTCTTAGTCACGCTACTCAATGAACCGGCAATTATGACAAAAGTCACCGAAACCGTTAGTACAATGTCCGATCCGTTAAACGTTCCCAAAATTCGAGGAAAGAAAAAAAAGAGAGAGAGAGAGAGAGAGAAATTCTACGCACTGTGATACAGATTAAAAGAAAAAAAAAAAGAAATGTCCTGACTTTTTTTATCGCACATAGAATTACACATTCACAAGATCGCAGCTTTTACGAGAAACATTATCGGCGAATAAGACGGTATTATCGTTACCAGCCATTAAAATCGACCGTAAAACTGGCGCTAACACGATCGAAATTCCAATTACCTAGTGAATTAAAAGAGAAAAAGAAGAAATAGAAAACGGTGCCTCTCTCTCCGGTGCATTCTCACTTCTTCCTCGTTTCTTCCTCCTTCTTCTAATTCACATTCTCCATCTTCGTCTTCATCGATTCTTGAAATACTTTAACGCTCGTTGTTAGCCACGAATCATCGGCCGCCATTGAACGGAGTTATTACGCGTAGTTATTGGGCCTTAATAGGTTCAACAGGGGCCTCACCACTCTGGATATGTCGATTATCGGGTTATCCCTACCACTTTCTTCTCAAGAGCTACTATACCAAGTACACGCGAGGTAAATACATGTTATGTTAGACTCTATACTCCGTGTAAGAGTCCCTCTACACACGGATATATACGATTTATCTTTTTGCGAGCCTTGGAGTCACATCTCTATATCTATGTATGTGTGCGTGTATGCATTCTTGCTACGTTCGCAAATACACATTACACGTATTCGCAGGAAGGGATTCGACACAAGGAAATACGTATATATACGTATACGTATACGTATACGTATATATATATATATATATATAGAAAGAGAGAGAGATTTCTTGTAGGGTACGCGCGAGCACAAAAGTAACCGCACTGCGTTTATTTGTAGTCGTTTCAAGAGGAAACGTGTTTTGTATCTCTCTCTCTCTCTCTCTCTCTCTCTCTCTCTCTCTCTCTCTCTCTCTCTCTCTCTCTCTCTCTCTCTCTCTTTCTGTACTTGTTTCTCTCACAGTCGATGGTCGACACAGGTGTCACCTATATATGAAAGAGAATATATTCAGTAACACGTTATCAGGATAAGACGAGGTCGACTGAAATTTTTCCTCGATCATCTCGTCGTCGAGTGAGACGCGATAAATAAATAAACGAGAAAGTAACTTCTTACGTATGTATATACGATATATAAGGAACCCGAGTACCAAGAAGAAAAATGAACTCTTCGCGTTCGTCCTCCTGAGAACGTGCGCACGCTCGGTTAGTTCGAAAAGATAAATATGAATCGTTGTTGGGCAGCATCGCGAGACCGTATCACGTGCATTGTTTGCCAACCTGAAGAACTACTACTACTACACAGTTTCGATACGATCGTGGATGGAGTCATCGGATATCAAAACGAGCAAACGATGTACCTTTCCAGCTGTTGTTTCTTTTCATCCAAAGATTTCACTTTCAATGTTCCCTGAGAAAGAGATAGAGAAAGATAGACAGGTAGATAGATAGATAGATAGATAGATAGATAGAGAAACAGAGAGAGAGAGAGAGAGAGAAAAGAGAAAAGAAAATAATACTTCTGTAGAATTTTCTCCAACAAATAAATACATCGTCCAAAATTTTATGAAGTTTTCGTAGAAAACTTTATAAATAATGAAATCATTTATTCTCAAATAGCCTACTTTTTCCAATAAGAAAAAAAAGAAAAAGGTATTACTTACTAAACATAAAAAAAAAGAAAGAGAGAGAAAGAAAAAGAAAAAGAAGAAAAATGAAAGAAAAAAAAAAAAGAAAAAAGAGAGATAGAGAATATCAAATCCTCGCTCGAATAAAATTTTACCATTCAGATGGATAAGACGTTTAACAGAAACTAGGAACGAGGTAGAGCATCCTAAGACTAGCTAGGGGAAAGATAAATCCAATCCGTTGGTGTTTTGAACCGGTGTGCTCGCGCACGATACTCGTGCTATCTTTCGTGGCTTCCGTTCTCCTCTCTTGGAGAGTTGGATGTTCGTTCCGAGAGTCAATCTCTCTCTCTCTCTCTCTCTCTCTCTCTCCTCTTTCTTTCTCGATACGATCGCGGATGGAGTCACCAGATATTACGAGAGCAGCACAGCATTCTCCTCTCTTCGTCGTTTCCTATACCAGGGATCTCCCTCCTTTCAAAGATAGAAAGAGAAAGAGAGAAAGAGAGAGAGTGAAAGAGAGAGAGAGAGAGAGAGTGTGGTTCGTGGTATACAACAACACGTTGAAGCACACAGGTTTGCCTTCGATCGGGTTACCGATCGCCCCCTCGTGCCAGATGCGCGCCATTGCCTTTTGCCAAGCGCCTTGCTGCACTCGTGTTTTGCGCCCGCGGGAGTGTTGCATCGGCGATGCATCTGGACGATGAAAGCGAAAGAGAGACAGAGAAAGAGAGAGAGAGAGAAAGAGAGAATAGTAGGGGAAAAGAAAGAGAGAAGCGTGTCAATGGGAAGCTCGTGGCACGCACCTGTACGTTTTTCAGGAGGGAAGGACCCCGGAGCCGAGTTAAAAGGAGGGCGTGGAACGAGCTGCTTAGAGCCTGCTAAAGGGGGTGCGAAAACGTCCGTCCCCCTACCCTTTTTTCTTTTTTTTTTCTTCTTCTTTTTTCCTTTTTTAAAGGGACATAAACGACCCACGCATCTGTCGCAATCACCGCGTCATTGTCAGCATAAACCGGGAACGATTTAAAAATCCCCGACTGCTATGATATACACCGTGCTCGGCTTTTAATTCTCTCCAATTCCTTTCTTTTTTTTTTTTTTCTTCTTCTTCTTCCCCTCTTGATCTCACTCATTCCACGGTCGGATACTCATCCAGTGGGATCGAACTTATGTAAATCCCGAGGATTTATTTCAAACGTATTATTTCATATAATACGTATTTTCCTACGATAATATCGTAGGAAGTTCAATGAAACGCGTATATCGTGTTTAAACTCGATCGACGAAATACACTATACTATTTTATGTTCGTTAATTCGTTAACGATTTAACTACAATTGTATTACGAAATATTTACGTGATGATTTATTTCGTTTAACGCCGATAGAAATATTCGTTAGCGTTTACGCCAATGCGGGCGCGTGGGCCCACGCGACCGAATATCGCACCCTTTCACGAATTTCGATATTGCTCACGCTAATGCGTGATTTCGCACACGTGTTTAATACGAACGATGTGTTGTGGGATCATCTAGACAGGGCTCTGGTAGGGTAAGCCAAGGCACTTCGTAATACGAGAACGCGAGCACTTACGTTGTTCCTCGATGTTCTTTCTTTTCTTCTTCTTCTTCTTCTTCTTCTCTCATGAGTCGCGTCGGTTCCTTCTTCTTCTTTTTCTTCTTCTTATTTCCGAAACCCCTTTTCGTACTTCTTTTGCTTTTTCTTTCTTTTCTTCTTCTTCCTCTTTTTCTTCTTTTTCTTCTTCATCATCATCATCGTCATCTACTTCTTCCTTTCGTAGGACTACTCTTAGCACGAGACTTTCTACTCCCCCGGCGCTAAACGTAAGACGAGAACCAACACGCTTCGGATAAACCGGAGAAGTAGATGCCGATCTCTGTGTGGGACACGTTCTCAAAAACAGAAGGCCGTTCCCTTTTAAAAGGGCTGTGTGTTATGTCAGCTTCCTCGACGATATATCAACGCTCTACCAACCGGTCATTTTAACTGGACTAACCTCGGGAGGACACGGAAACCCTGTCAAAAATAATACATTACCATAACGATTCTGTTATTTATGTATAATATTAATACATAAAGAATTTAGAATTATATAAAGAAAACATTTTCATTGTCTTCGACATTATTATTATCGTTTAAATTGATCAGTAATAATGTTAGATCGATATTCAAAAAAGAACAAAAAAAAATTTATATGGACTGTCGTGTTATGTCAGCTTTCTTGAACGATGCATCCATCAATGATCCACCATCCGGTAATTTTGAATGGAACCTTGAGAGAACATGGAAATCCTGTTTAAAGTAATACGTCATATATGAAGAATCATGTGATTTACGTAAGTATTAATAGATATGCGATTGAAGAACTTAGAATTATATAAAGGAACGTATTCCTTCTTATCTTTATTATTATTTTGGTTGGAATCAATAGATAAAAATATAACGATCGATTTAGAAACAATTCACGTTGAATTTAACGAATCAACGATCGAGTTCAATTATCGATAAACTTTTAATTCTTCATAAAGAGATATGAATCGTCTGGGTAAGCGAAGCGGAGTGTTAGAATTTCAAAGCTCCGCTCGCTCGAGCGGAACCTTTCAAGGTTGCTCTGAATTGCGAGGATACGCGTGAAATTAGAAGTTAATGAAGCGAACGTAAATTATGTTTCCCAAGATGAACAGTAACAACTTGTACTTGTCTTTTTTTTCTTCCTTTATTTTTTTTTCTTTTTTTTTTTTTTTTTTTTTTTTTCTTTTTTTTCCCCCTTTTCGTTGACCCGTGATACGAAAGAGATAATAATCTCAAGTGGAGGGTACCATAGATAGCCCAATTTACGATGGAACGTGTTCGAAGGGTAAAAGCTTTGATCGATTTGAGAGGGATAGAGAGAAGAACACTTGTCCGTCTTCCCATACGCGACAGACGGCTCTTTTTTCACATCCTGTTACACAATGTAACCGAGGTGCCCTTAAAAGTAAAGCCGACCCTCGGCAGCAGAATATAAACCGCACGCGCTCGTGAATACTAAAGAATCATCGATGGTCTCGATGGGTTACTCGTTACAATACAAAGCGTGCGATTCCTTTTTTAAAGGCCAAATCATTTGCGCTTATTGCAACAAAGTGAACCAAAGAAAAAAGAAAGGAAATAAGCAAAAAAAGAAACGATTTTTTAATCGAGTTGAATTAATTTCTTTTTTCTTTGTTTTTTATCCTATACTCTGATGATTCTAAAAGGATTTGCATCAAACGATTTATATCTATCTATCGAATATCTCGTTAAATAAATGGAAGAAAGATGTCGCGCTGATAAAATATTTTATTTAGATTCACAATATTAAGAAGCGATCATCTACCGATACAAAGAGAGAAAAAGAAAATAGAACTGCTATCATCTATATTCCTATCGATCCGCAAACGTAATATTTGACTTTCCTGGATAAACCACTGGTTTAGAGTTCACAGAAGCACGAACGCAAAATATTATCATAATCCGATGCGCGGTGAAGCTGGGTAGCCAACGTAGCGGAATAAAACATGCCGCGCCGGGGCGCCAGTGAAGTGGATCTGTGAAACTCGTGCGCGAATCGGCTCAACCACGAATTGCTTCCGCAGTACTCACTTCCAAGTGGCGTAACAAACACGGTATAGAAACACTTCGAAGGTATCGATTCGTCGAATACCATTCTCAGTATTAGATCGTGATGGTATATTATCTTTGAAGAAGAAAAGAGGAAGAAGAAAGAGAAAAAGGGACCCGGAAAAACGATCCGCAAACTATTCAGAAATGATATGTAACGGAATCGATGATCGAATCGGCACGGTGGTCATAATCTAGAATCGAAAGGCCGATCGATCGAAGGTACGATTCACGATCATTAATTTCCATCTACATTGAAATCATTCGCCATAAAAAATCAATCATTCCTGCTGTCTGTCTCAAAAATTTTACTTTGTATTTTAACTGGTTAAGAAATCCCCGAACTACATATACTTGTATCGAATTAACATACATAGGCGTCAAAACGTGCCGCTTAACGAAATCAAAGTTTTATTTTTACGATTTTTATGTTTTAACGGAACCAAAAAAAAAAAAAAAATATCAAAGAAAACTCTTTAATATCTAGAGGACATTAGAACAATGACTATACGATGCTTCTGAATAAAACTTGGCAGTTGAAACGGTAGTAATACTGCGCACCTAACGGTAGAAACGATCGGCTAACATTACATTCGTGAAATGAACCTAAAGTCAACGACAACGAGGAAAGAAGGATAGAGGGAAAGAGAGAGAAAGAGTGAGAGAGAGAGAGAGAGAGAGAGGGAGAGAAGGGTGACTGCACTTGCCCCAGATACGAGAGTAATCCATCGATAGAATTCCTATATGCGCTTTAATTGCGTGCGACCAATTCCCGAGCACGAGATCAAAACGATCCGAGCTACCACTAATGGTGTCCGATATATATCGCAAAACTTCGGAATGTTTTACCTATGCCGACACTAAATTATTTTTCTATCATAATACTTACGCGCTTTCAAATCGGCTTTACATCCGATATATATATATATATATATATATATATATATATATATATATATCTTATAAGAACCTACGGCCTATAAAAAAGATATCAAACAAGACTTTCACTTGGAGGACGCCCGAAGGCTCGCGTGTCACTTAACATCGACAAGTACGAGTACGAGTGCATTTACTTTGTGATCACTATGGCTTCTGGAAAAGTCGACGCCAATGGAGAAGGTCCAATGATACTCACGATCGATGGATCCAATAATGACGATAATATCGCGAGAACCGAACGGAGTTCGATCAAAGGCCATAGAGAAGCAGTTGCTTCGAGAAAAGGAGAGAGAGAGAGAGAGAGAGAGAGAATCAACGTCGATCTTAGGATATCGAGTTATTAATTATCTTAACCTCGGCTTTACGTACGTTAACATGTACAATGCACATACACACGCGAGCATAGCTATATATATATGTGTGTGTGTATGTGTGTGTGTGTATATTATATATATAAATAATAGATAGATTTGTAGATACGTTAGATATGAAAACCGTCCGTCGATCAGTCCACGTCGTCGTTAGATTTGCCACGATGGCGGAGCTCTTACAAGAGCAAAACAAAAAAATTGAAATTATTTTACAGCTTATATCATAATTTCGCTCTCCATTCGTTTTAACAGCTAACAAATAAGTTTATCGTTACGTTAATCTTCTAAGAAAGAAAAGAAAGGAGAGAAAAAAAAAAGAAAAGAAAAGAGGAGAAAAATAAAAAAAAAATCTTCGTTTAGGACATTAAAATTTAACGATGAAACGTTTCAGCGGGATTCCATAAGAGAATACGTACAAAATAATTAGTCGGCATCATTGATTTCATCTGCCAATAAACGTCGGCTTCCCTTTTTGACTCGACGAGTTATACGATCTTATTAATGCCGGTTGATGTTAATGCGAGAAAGAACCAATACGCAAGCCGTTAATAGTGTTTGGCCGCTTGACCGAAAGATCGTTAATTATTATTCGAGGTCCTGCGGAATTGTGTGACGTATAAATATCATGAAACGACGTACACGAGAGATTCCGACGTACGTCGCTCGAAATAATGATAATTAATGATCGATAATTCACGTCCTTATGTCTGACGTACTAAACCACATCCTTTGTTTTAATTACTTTCGTCAGATCGTATCGATCGGGAAATAAAGACAACGCGATTTGTATCTTCCTTGACCGAAACGGACAGAGATGTAATCGCTTAGATTACTACAACTATCCTTC